GCACTAAACTTTAAACTTAACATGATTTAAACCCAGCCATAATCAAACAAAAACAACAAAAACCTTAAAGAACCTGAAACCCTAAACACCCGAGGTTAAACCCTAACCCTAAACCCTAAACACTAAGACCCTAACCGTAAAAGCACAGAACAAAAACACCCATACGCCCCGATGAGTTGGGCTTGGCGGCCCTTTCGTCTCCGAAGTCTCTTCTCGGGCTTAGGGTTTAGGGTTTAGGGGTTTAGGGGTTTAGGGGTTTAGGGGTTTAGGGCTTTAGTGGTTTAGGGGTCAGGGGTTGGGGTTTAGGGTTTAGGGATTTTGGGTTTAGGGCTTAAGGTATAGGGTTTAGGGTGTAGGGCCGATTCGCAGAACTAGATGCCCCAAGCGCTTGAGTCTTCAAGGAACTCCATGGTGTTGGGGCCTTGACAGTTAGAACAGGGTTTTGGGGTTATGCTCTACTGTACTATTACAGTGATAATACGGAACTGCAAGGAATAATATTGCCCCTATTTTGCACTGACAAGCCCTGCAGTGCCTTTGCACATCCTGCGGACGGAATTACCTCGTTCAGAGGCTTTTGCTTCTGGTACGCAGTCTTTGGAAACACTCCTGTACCGCATGGCGAAGGTCTTTGATGGTTTCTCGATATACTACTGGGTTTAGGGTTTAGGATTTAGGGTTTAGGGTTTAGGATTTAGGGTTTAGGGTTTAGGGTTTAGGATTTAGGGTTTAGCCTTACAAGGTTTATCGATATACTACCCCCTCAGACCGTCCCACCCAGGCTCCTACGATGTGACCCTCGGCCCTAGGCCTTTTCTGCTACATCCGAAGCCCTAGAGGCGAACCTCTAACTATGAAGCCCCAAGCCTAGTAATGTAGAAGCCTACTAAATAACTATGGTTATTTTATAAAAGGGCCCAAAACCCTATTCTGATGATTAAGGCCCCTATATTAAGCCATGAAGATGAAGAGGACAGGCCTCCAAATCCCTGAACCTTCAAACGTGCCTTGGAAGAAGCGGGGCCGACTTCGGCGCGAATGCCAGGGACTGCGCGGACACATGGGTTCCTCTTAGATAGAGACATAGAGCCTACGACAACACCATGTTTGCTTTTGGATGTCCCTTTTCCTAAACCCTTCTCCCTAATCCCAAAACCTTTAAGCCCTAAACCCTAAACCCTTAAACCCTAAACCTTAAACCGCTTTAGGACGTGTTGTAAACGGGCTGTAAAACCAAAAGGGTAACAATACCAATATAGTAGGTATTTAGTAGATATTTGGGCCCCCAAAAGATATACCAAACAATTACTTGAACCCTTTGGGGAACAACTCAAACCAAAGTGAGGCTATAGCTGTACTTCTTTGGAGTTGGTAGGGCTTGAACCGTAGACTTCGCAACGAGGGTGTATAGGGCTTTACATGCCTTTGAAAAAAGGCTTCTCGGTTCTGCAAACGAGGCTATGGGTCTCATTCCCATGACTTCTTAGGGCTTAGGGTTCATAAGGTTTAGGGTTTAGGGTTTGGGTTTAGGGCTTAGGGTTTGGGCTTAGGGCGTAGGGTTTAGGATTTAGGGTTTGGCTGGGGTTGCTCTGTCGTGCACAAACTATTTGCAGGTTCTACAACTAAGACTAAGACCATCTTATTACCTCTGCAAGGTTTGAGGCTACGGGTAGGTTCCAGCATGGAATTCTTGATTGCCAACGTTCTGCTAAGTCGAAACTTCACTAAAGCTTGGGAAACACTGTCGCCTATCAGCAGCACTCTGCGAGCAACAGAAGCTTGTAACAGTTCACGCGCCAACGAACCCGCGAAATGTAGGGACCGGGAACATATGTGCCGCACCAAGGGTAGCAGTTTGTGATCAAAGATGCGGTCTGCTGAGTAATAGGTGGCAGCACAAGCGGCATCGGATCTTGACATTCCATCAGAGTTCGCCAGCCTTGCCGGGCACTTGCGGGAATGACCTCGGCTAAACCCTAAACCCGAAACCCAAAACCCTCAACCCTCAACCCTAAACCCAAAACCCAAAACCCAAAACCCTAAACCGCTTCCGGATTTCAAGTTCAGGCATTAGGGCTTCGGCTTAGGTGCGAAGGTTCAAACCGCGATAAGCAAAGCCTATGCTGTTACAGAAGCAAGGACAAAGCTACCTTGGGTGTAGGGGTTTTAGGGTTTAGGGTTTCGGATTGGTGCAGTCTACAAGGATCCCGAGCATTTTGCAAAACAGAGAAGGGAGCTCGATAAGATCCAGAGCCGGGCCGCAACTGAAATGGCTTTGGCCGAGAACCAATCCAGCAAAGCAGGTGTCACCGGTCGCGATTCAATGGTAGACATATGCCTCCAAAAACCAAAACCCTAAGTCCTAGCCTTAACCCTGAAACCAAAACTCTAAACCATGTAGCACCTCCGGGTCGGAATCAGCTCCCTCTCAGAGCGACTCTCTGCAGTCGCGAAAGGCTGTGTCCAAAAGCCGGCAAACCTACCCTCATTGCTTCTCGTAAGGTGAAGCCGGCAGTGAGCTGCAGTTCGTAATCAAGAGCCACTTCACCACATTGCCAGAAGAGCCAACAAAACATGCATGTCAAGCCCCGACACTCCTGAGAGCTGCAGCCTATATGGGGGTTTCCGAAAATAGGGACCCTTATATAGTAGCCTAAATAATAGGATCCCTATTATAAGGACCCCAAAATAAGGTACCCCTAATTTTCGGAAAGTCGCAATGTACTTGTTTTTCCTGAGGCTCCCGGCGGCGGAGGAGGCGCCGCGAGCACAGGCTGCACGAAGTGAGACATGGGGCGCTGCTGAAAAGGGCAAGCAGCAGGGATCACCTGGAGCCGGAGGAGAGCGAATGGAAGTTTACGGTTTAGGTTAAACTACCATGACCTACCTTTTTTGTAGGTCCTTCTTATGCACCCTGATAAAAAAGTTCTGGGGCCCTAGAAACATGTAGGTTTTGGTAGTTCCGGGTCGGGTTTGGCTGGGGAGCTTCTTGCTCCGCTATTGATGTTTGTAAGCTTGCTGACACCCGGGTTGGGGTCTAGGGTTTAGGGTTTAGGGGAAGCCATTCGAAACGAAGGCCTGCGTCACAAGGAGTGCCGACTACTGGGTGACTGACAAGATGCAACTTGTTCTAGCAGCAACAGCAGATCACCATCACCATAACGAGCGACAAAAGAAGCCTGACTGAACATTATCAGCAGCGCAGCTGCCACCATCGCACCGTCAGCAAGCTCGACATCTTACCTCGTCACCACGAGCATCTCCCATAGCTACTAGGCAAGTTAGAAGAGCAAGCAAACTCGCGACATCCCCATAATGATACTATACGAATACTAATAATAAAACTATAACTAAGAAATTCGAAAATGACACTATAATTTATAGACTAGAATCATACTAACTATAATACTATGACACTATGATATACACAAATAATACTAATCAGTCAGTAGTGAGAGCGCGCCTGAGCCTGGGCTGGCATTCCTGGCGGCCTGACCATTGGCTTCGGCTGCAGCTGTCGAACTGCCTGTTCAGGGTTGCAAGTTTAGGGTTTAGGGCCTTGGGTTTTGGGTTTGGGTTTTGGGTTTCGGGTTGAAAGTTTAGGGTTTAGGGTTGCGGGTGTAGGGTTCAGGGGTTTAGAGTTTAGAGAAAGCCGGTTTGAGCTTTGGGCTCTACATGGTGCCGTGCATCGTGCAAACAAGTTGATGCGGTTGTGCATAGATTCATTTGCCACTGGCAATCAATGGACACCTTTCACACTCTATCGGCACAGGCAGATAATGTAGACGCCTTCATAATTAGAATGGGGAAGTTTAGGTTTAGGTTGGTTGCTGCAGGTTTGAGAGGCTTTACTTATTTTTATAGGGTTTAGGGTTTAGGGTTTAGGGGTAAGGCTTATATAAGGCCTATTGTAGGGTTTAGCCAGAGAACAAACGCAAAGTTGGAATCTACGTCCTGAGCTTCCCAGAAACTGCACACTCATTGCCCCCAAAACACATCCCCTGGACTCCGTCCTGGATCTCATTCTTTACTTTTCAAAGATAATCCCTAACCCTAAACCCTAAACCCCCAAACTCTAAGCCCTAAGCCCTAAACCCTGGACCCTAAACCCCTAAACCCCTAAACCCCTAAACCCGAAACCTGCGCATTTATAGATTCTTTTTTCCCGAAGCCAACCCAAGGCTCTGGAACCTGGTTTTGGAGGGTACAGGAAAACATTAGGGTTCGGGGTTTGGGGTTTAGGGGCTTAGGGTTTAAGGCTTAGGGTTTGGGGGTTAGGGTTTAGGGGCTACGGTTTAAGGTTTAGGGTTTGGTGGCTTAGGGTTTAGGGGATTAGGGTTTAAGGTTCAGGGGTTTAGTTTTAGGGGTTTAGGTTTAAGGTTTGGTATTCTCATACGGACTTTACGTGACAGGTATGACTATTATTTCTTCAGCCCCCTATAGTGGTCTTCAACCCATCGATGCACATAATCTCCGCCGAACCCTAAACCCTACCTGTGGCCGAAAAGACCTACATTTTTAGTGCTCCTTATTAGGGTTTCTATATCTAGTTCCTTAAAAACACCTAGACCTTCTTTTGTAATGTTTATTTCGGTAACGAAAAAAATGTGTATCA